AGTTTTGGAATTTAATGATAAGTGCTTTGGAAGAATAAGGGGATTAAAAATGTGGAAAATGCCAGAAGCAAGGTGATTGATGACATTTGTCAAGTGTTTAGGCTGCACAGGAAGGATAGAAGCCATGAAAGTGGAGAAAGACAGTGTCAAATAGGCAAGGCTGAACTGCAGGTCTTAACATGTGGTTTGGTAGAAAAAAATTGAGAGGGCCGGGCACTGTAGGTGGCTCAGGCCTGTAATCCCAGCACTTTGAGAGGCAGAGGCAGGTGGATCATGAGGTCAGGAGTTCGAGACCAGCCTGGCCAATATAGTGAAACCCCGTCTCTACTAAAAATACAAAAAATTAGCCGGTGCAGCGGTGGGCGCCTATAATCCCAGCTATTCGGGAGGCTGAGACAGCAGAATCGCTTGAACCTGGAGAGAAAAAAAAAGAATTGAGAGAACTGGAAGGGTAGATGGCTATCATCAGAGAATGGTATATTGAAATTGAAGATTTCAAAAAGGGAGTTGACAGTAAAAGGAAGAACTACATGCCACTATACGTTAGCTAATCAGAGGGGCCATGAGTGGATGACAGTTTCTTCAGCGAAATTCAGTGTAAGCTGGGTTCCAGAATGTAAGATCTCAACATTAATAGATAAGTAAAATTAAAATGTCACTGTATCTTTTAATTTAAGAAATGTGTGCTCCCCTCCTAGACTGTAAATCCCTTGAAAAGAAAGAATTATATTTTACACATTTTCATCATCTCTTCTGTTATCTAACATAATTCCTTGTATGTATTAGACACTCAGACATTTGTAAAATGTTTGAAAGGGAAGAAAATATATAAAAATTGTATCATGAGATAATATATTAGATATATTTGAATAGGTAAGTATATGATTAAATTTTATTCTACAATAAATTCAGTATAAAATTTCAAAATGAATTACTTTCTTATTTATGTGCTAAAGTTTATTCTGTTTTTGAACTTAATTTGCTTATTGGGGTATCTACAGTCATTTTGAAGTGGCAGTCTTTAGGACTTCTCTATTTCTAGTCCCACACATAAAATTTTTAATAAGCTCATAATATAGAGAAATCTGAGTGATGTATTGAGTATAGATTATTTGAATCCCAACCTCTTAATAAATTTTTATTTACATAAGCAAGTCCTTAAAATCACATATGTATGTATTGTATGCACCATTTCACTTCATGTGTATCTATTAATAATAACAAAAACTAACATTTGAGTAATGTGTGTCAGGCACTGCTCTAGTTTACATAATTTTCTCATTTTTCCCTTCACAACAACCCAACAAACATTTGCTATTATTAGTCTTATTTTACAGATAAGGAAACAGTAGAGAGGTTAACTAATTTGTCCAAGGTCACAAAATCAGTGAATGAATTCAAACCTAGGAGATCTAGTGTTCAGGATGTTAACCATCACTACATATGAACATATGGATACATATGAACAATACAAGACAAATGCCAATTCATTTATCTTCTATTGCTTGTTTGAGTGTTCGTTTCCTTTACCTTAAGATCCCTGAGATCAAGGACACTGGATGGTAAATGGCATCTTATCAATAAGTATTTTGTGAACAAATAAATGGATGAGCTTCTGACTTTACAGAATAATTTTGCTATTTCCTACAAATTTTTCTATTATTTTACAGCTAACACTCTTGGCTTTTCCTTCAAGCGCATTCCAGTTATTATTTGGGTGATTTGTTATGAGACATGTTATGACATTTTAAACCTTTACATTTAAAACTTCATTCTTTTGCTGAGACAAAAATTATCTCTTCTCCTCCTCCTCCTGTCACAAATTGCAGACTAAGTGTTTTTACATGAGGGGAGTTTGTAATCCAGGATTTCTGCAGCAGTGGGCTTCAAATATTCTAGACAAATGCTGCTTTTTGTTCAACTCTTCCTGATGAGTGTTGTGATCAAAGCTTCACCCTGGCATCCGTTAGTCATCAAGTGCTTAATTTGAGAATGGTTGCTATCATCATTTACTCTCTAAACAGGTGCCACCTAGTTACTTTTGTTTTGGCTATTATGGGTTAAATGCATTCCTGAGCTTAGTCCTGCTTAAGCTTGCTAGTTCTCCATTTTAAATTAAGGCACGGTAGGTTATTTCTTTCAAGAGTAAAGGTTTCTTTAGGGAGGAATCTTTCAAAGCACTCATTTTTATTCTTGTTTTCGGTAGTTAAGTGTTTCACTGTTCAGCCTTGCTTTACTGCCTCTGGCTTACAAAACTGTATTACATTGAAGTTAACAGTGGTTAGGGATTAAAAAGAACTTACGTTTTATTCTTAAAATATTGCTGTCTTTTAAGTTGCTTACTTGACTGTTATTCCTTACTGCCTTGCTACCATTCTTGTAAGTGTTTACTTTCAGTCCATGGAATTAATGTCAATTTATAAAGAGTTGTTTCACTAAGGCATTTTTGAATTATAAATATATTATGCAAGAATTCTGTTTTTTGCTACAGTTTTTTAGGTCCAGTAATTCCTGAGCAAAGAACTCGGTATGAGATTAATACATTTGTTAGCAATTACTTGATAGGAGAAAACATGTTGAACTATTTCTTTAAAGCTACTTTATATGTAATTACCCTGAATGTCTCCTTTCTAGCATGTTTCCTCCATGTGATATGCCTGTTGTTCATCAAGTTAGAAATAGTCAATGGGACAATTAAAATTGCTTTCCTAATTGATAAAGAAGAATAGAGGATGGAATTTTAGATTCATGAGCAAAAACACTCAGTACCTATTGAAGTGACCAAGTATTAGGAACTGGTCACAGTCAGAAATTCTATCTTACCCACTTTTGTTTCACCAAAATCTAGTTCAATTGTAGACCTTCTTTCCCCCCACCCCCATCTGTTTCTCCTTTCTTCCCTTCCTACCATTCAGACATAGGATTTTAGAATCTAGGACAGAGATAAAACTGGAGGTGTGAATTTGAGAGTAACCTTAATATAAATGGCAGTTAAGACTGTGAACTGGAGGATGTTACCGGGGGTGTTTAGAGGATAAATCAGCAAAGGAAACTTGGAAGGAATAGTCAGTGAAATAGAAGGCAAACAAGCAGTGAGGTGTCAAATCAGCCAAAGAAGTAACTTAAAAAGGGGAAGAGGCCAGGGAAGTGGCTAGTGCCTGTAATCCCAGCACTTTGGGAGACTGAGGTAGGAGGATCACTTGAGGTCTGGAGTTTGAGACCCGCCCGGCCAACATGGTGAAACTCTGTCTCTACTAAAAATGCAAAAATTAGCCAGGGATGGTAGCACATGCCTGTAGTCCCAGCTACTTGGGAGGCTGAGACAGAGGAATCACTCTAACCCAGAAGGCAGAGGTTACAGTGAGCTGAGATCACACCACTGCACTAGCCTGGGCCACAAAGCAAGACTCCATCTCAAAAAAAAAAAAAAAAAAATGGGTTGGGGGGTTAGTATAGAAGATAACCAGCTATGACACATGCTTTTAAGACAGAGAGAAAAAAATAAGGCATGAGAATTGGGTATTAAGTTTGACTCTAAGTACTTGGAACAGAGGCTTGTTTGGAGTGAGATGAAAATAAAATGGAATTGAAGAATAAAGATGGTGACTTTAGATACCTCTTTTGAGAGACATGATTGTAAAGGGAAGCAGAGAAGTGAGGGACAGCTGGAAAGTGTAAGTTACAGGTGGGTATATTTTAAACAGTGGACGATTTAAAAATTCACATATGAGCCAATATAAATAATACAACATAGAGAAGGAAGAAAGAGATGATGCGGGGGTGGTCAAAATTTCAGGAGAAATATTTACTATGTGGATAAAAAGAGTAGGATTCATAGCACAGTTTGATGAGTTGGCATTAGAATGGACACTTCTTCCATCATGACATCAGTAGAACGTGTTTACTGCATATGTCCATTTTAGATCTGGTGATGGAAAGATGAAGTAGGTCTCATCTGATATCTCCTGTTTTCTCAATGAAGTATGAGCAAGATGAAATGTTTCAAGTGGAGGAAAGCGATATAAAAGGATTACGGAAAGGAGAGAAGCTATAACAATAGTCATTTAGGAGAGTGAAAAGTAGACTTTGTGGCAAATGTTTGATTTCAACATTGGGCTGCCACAGGAAAATGTGCTATCCTGCTTTAAACATGTTCTCACAGGGAGCCCCTTTCTGGGTACTTATCAAGTACCATATCTTTAATTGTAGCCCATATTACGTCAGCTCTCACACATCATTATTTCTCTACTGTGATTCAGACATGTAGGGATTTCTTTTATCTTGCTCTTCATCTCGTTGTTCATTTAAGAACATTTTAGCCCGGGTGTGGTGGCTCACACCTGTAATCCCCGCACTTTGGGAGGCCGAGGTGGGAGGATCATGAGGTCAGGAGTTTGAGACCAGCCTGGCCAACATAGTGAAACCCCATCTCTACTAAAAATAGAAAAATTAGCCAGGTATAGTGGCAGGTGCCTGTAATCCGAGCTACTCGGGAGACTGAGGTGGGAGACTCACTTGAACGTGGGAAGCGAAGGTTGCAGTGAGCTGAGATTGTGCCACTGCACTCCAGCTGGGGCAACAATGAGAGACTGTGTCTCCAAAATGTTTTGGTGTTGGAGGAAAGATTTCCAGATGTTTTCAAGGGAAATAAAAGTAGAACTTCCACTTCACTTCTCTGATTCTCTGTTTTTCTGTTTATAAAATGGGAGAAATACTATCTAGGTACAGATTTGTGGTTAAGAATTGGAAATTATATGTATAAAATACTGGCCCATAGTAGGCAATCAACAAATGAATCTTGTAATTTTATTGCCCCTAAATATTATTCTTCTACCCAGAGAATAAAAAGATCTTGCTTCCTTTCTTAAATACCACTTTAACTTGGCACAGTGTTTCTAAGTTTCTTTGGATGGAATGTAAGAATTTTACTGAATGATATTATGTATTTTGGGCTTCATGATGTTTTAGGGCCTTGGTAATGTAACAATTGAGAAAGAATAGACTTCCAATAGAAAATTTATTTTCTCATGAGATTTTATTTTTATTACACAAATAAAATTATAATTAATAATGTAATTTGGAAAGCCCAAATAATAATAACAGTGAGGAGGGAACATGGAGTAAAAAAGCCAAAACATAATGTGAAAGGGATTTTTGAAAAATGTCATAGTGTTAGCCACATTCTCTTTGTCTACTAATAATGTTGCTGAAGACAACCGTGTTTTGTAGTGAAGCATTGTATCAATTTGAATAACTAATACTAAGAAATGCTAATAGTTCAATTGTTGCATCAATAATTTTTGTCAAATTAACAGCCATGCCCATATTGTGTTCACTAAGGCAATATGGATACTACCAAAACCATCATCCAGTGCCTAAAGGATAAACAGGAGGTATTGACATAGTGATTCTTTATTCAATATCTTCTTCTTCTATTTTGGTATGCTCTAGGGCATGTACCTCTCTTTCAGGTAGTAACCCATATTCATTCAGGAAAGACTCCACATCCCCAGCAAAAAATTCTTCAGCAAACTGTTCAGCAACACTAATAAAATTGCTTATGAGTTCCCCACCTTTATAGACGAGCAATGTGGGAAGTACATCCAAGGAAAAGCGGTCCCCAGCACCTGTATTCGAAGCTTTTATTTTACAAAACTTAACTATAGGGTATTCTGCTGCAAGGCATGTTAAACTATTGTTTAGAGCATCACAGCCCTTAACACCATCTTCATAAATGTGAACAATGATTGTGGTGATCTTCTGTTCCTTTTCAATTGTTTCCAGAAATTGCTCTCCAGTTTCCAGCTCGTACACAAACCCGTATCTAGGCCCAAAACTCAGCTTCTGGTGCATATCCTGCATACACTGTCTACGGTATTTACGAAGGCAGTTTTCATCCTCTTTCTCTTTATGAATTAGTTCATATTCTTGAATGCTCATCTGCGAATAGATTAAGGAAATGATAGAAATTATTCAGTCAGAAATTTTATTCCTCAGATATACCAAGCCCATTCTCAACTGAAGAAGTTAACTTGTGCTGTTTTCTCTGCCTGGACCTTTTGCTCCTGATGTGCCATTCTCTTTCACCTCACTCAAGCTTTTGTTTAAATGTCACCTTCCTTGATTACCTTAAAAAGTCCCCGTCTCATACTCTCCATTCTTTATGCTGGTTTATTTTCTTTATAGCAATAAACACTATTATATCTTAAAACTGATATTTTTGGAATATGTGGGATGGAATTCAAGTAAGATAGTGTTTCCTGCTATTTGGAGTTCATCAGATCATCCAAGAGGTTAATTGCTGGACCAGCAGCATTAGCATCACACCCTAGGCTTACTGAATTAGAACCTATAAGGGTGAGGCTAAGTAATCCATATTTTAACAAGCACTCCAGGTTATTATTATTCACTAGTTTAGGCTAAAGTAAGAAAAGACCTAAATTCCATGTTCTAAGATAGCGACTTTTCATTGCAGTTGGAATAGAAAGTTACCTACAGGCCCTTTCATAATAGCTACTCCATTATTAATGTATTCCATAGAATATTAAGTACCCATTCCCCCAATCAAAAAAGAAAACAGGTATAAAGGAACAATGGGACATAGTGTGATTGACAGACCTGGAGCAGCTCAGAACCATGGAAGTTAAATGGTTCCCATGTGGGATCATCTGCTGCCTCCTTATCATCATGTAACCTCTCAGACAGCAAATGCTATCAATTTTTAAAGTAGAAGAGAATTGAGAAGACATGAAACTAATGTTCATTAAAAACCTACTGGGTGTTGGGCACTTCCCATAGATTATGTTATTTAATCCTTACAAATAACCTCTTAGATAGGTATTATTAGTGTTATTTTACAGAAGACACTGAGATTTAGTAAATAAAAGTTCATGATGCTTTCATTACTTCTTTCTCTTGTTTCTGTTTCTTATATTTGTTTCCCTAATGTCGTCATTCTTTTCCTTATCATATTTTTTTCTGTTTTAAGATTATTGTCCCAGGATGGGTGTGGGGACTCATGCCTGTAATCACAGCACTTTGGGAGGCAGAGGAGGGGGATTGTTTGAGTCCAGGAGATCAGACTGGGCAGCATGGTGAAACTCCATCTCTACAAAAAATAGCCGGGCGTGGTAGTGCGTGCCTGTAGTCCCAGCTACTTGGGAGGCTGAGGCAGGAGAATCACTTGAATCCAGGAGGCAGAGGTTGCAGCGAGCCAAGATTGCGCCACTGCACTCCAGCTGGGGTAACAGAGTGAGACTTTGTCTCAAAATAGTAATAGTAATAATAATAATAATATTCTCCCAATTTACTTTTAACCTTAAAAATTTCTAACGTTTCATATAATTCTTAAGTTGCTGCCATAGTTCTATTAATTTAACAGACCAGACCTTACAAATCTGACTTGACGATGTGTTTGAGCATTTGTATGAAAACTTGCTTTAGTCACATATTAAGACATATGGATATGTACACATTCAGATACATTTTCAAAGTTTAACCTTAGCATAAAATTTTTAATAATAAGTGTGTCACATTTACTTAGTATTTTACGTGTTTCAAAATACTTCTAAACTTATTTTTTCTTCACATCTCTTCAAAACAAATGGAGCAGGTTTGTTACAATTCCCCAGATGGAATTCTCCATATTTCGCTTTCTCATATTGTGAAACTATCTCTAAGTCAACTCATGTATTTGTAACTAATTCTTTTCATAACTGTATGTGTTCTTAGTATGGAATGCCACAATAGGCATTCACTTCATTTCCATTTTTTGCCAGCATAAACAATATTGCAATCAATATATTTTTAATAGTCTAAAGTGATTATTTAGATTAGAAAACACATTGTAAATTATTTGTTACTGATTTTTGTATTATCTTACCTTTCTGCTGACTCGTTCCTTTGAATCTTTGCTATTCCTACTCTGAGGAGAAGACATTTGCCTGAGAATCTCCTTCTTGCTAGGTGGAATTGAATCACTGTCTTCACTCTCTAATTTAAACTTTCTCCAATCATTTATTACTCCTTTGGGTCCTGGAATGAAATTACAAATAAATTGTTTCCCCTTTTATTTTCAAAAGGACTGTTAGCATAATTGAAACTTGTGTAACTATTGCCATGGGAATAAACTTATTATCTCCTGGATCAGAAAAAAAAAATCTTCTTTGGTCTAGAAATTTCAAACTGCCCTGCTCATAAAAATATGCTCCCACATTAATCTTGTTAAATGGGTTTTGGTGAAGAATCTTTCAGAAACATTTGCACTAATGAAAATATAAATTATGCACTTTGAACTACTGGCAAAAGGTTGGGGTTAGTATATTTAAATATTAGAGTCTAAGGAGGATACTAGAATTTTGGAAAAAATAATACTTTTATTACCTAAGAAAAAAACTTCAGCAACAAACTAAAATTGGCATTACAGTACGAAGAAAGGAAACTCAGCATATTGGGGAAACAAAAATAACAATAGTATGTAAATGACAACTGGTGAGCAGGGGGCCTGACCTCAACAAAACTAAAATGTCTAAGAAAATCATTATGTAACCATCCCATTTTTCTAAGATTCTTTTACAAACATAGAATAGGATTGGCAGATTTTTTTTTTTTTTTTTTTTTTTTTGAGATGGAGTCTTACTGCTGCCCAGGCTGGAGTGCAGGGGCGTGATTTTGGCTCACTGCAACCTCCACCTCTTGGGTTAAAGTGCTTCCCCTTTGTGTGCCACCACACCCTGCTAATTTTTGTGTTTTTAGTAGAGATGGGGTTTCACTATGTTGGCCAGGCTGGTCTCGAACTGCTGACCTCAAGTAATCTGCCTACCTCAGCCTCTCAAAGTGTTGGGATTACAGGTGTGAGCCACCGTGTCTGGCCAGTTGGCAGATTTAAGAAAAACTAATTAAATAAAGGATGATTCAACTGGAATTCTGATATTCAGTTGACCTGATGACTAATAGCATTATTCATTTAAGAAGGTCTTAAATTCTTTAAAACAAGGAATATTAAACCTACTATCCTTCACTAAAGCTTAGCTATATCTACACTTTTAATGTCATATTCTATATCATATTCTATATGTGAATGTATTCCTTCTTTCTCCTCCATATTGCCTAATAATTTTTGTTTTATATATATGATACATATTTAATATAAATTTATCGTGAATGTATTTGTATTATATGCAGGCAATCAAATATATTTGTGTACATATATAGTGTTCATATCAATATTTTTAGATATGTTTTATGTATATACAAAATATACATGTGTGTATGTTTGTTTAAAGAAAGAGACTCCATTTTGCTCCCGGTTTCTACAAATGGTGGTGTATTAAACACATTTTTCCTTACCTTGCTTTATCTGTTTCATACTATATCTTGGAGATTTTTTTGGTATACACACGAAGACATTCTTCCTTTAGAAAATTTGGAAAATGGAGGCATGGTGTTCCACTGTGTACATGGAATAATTTACTTAAACGATTTCATAGTGGTCTACATTGTTTGTTTCTACATTTTTTTCTATAACATATGATTCTGAGTGAAGAATCTTGTGCATACATTTTAAAGAAATCTGTGCAGGTATATTTATGATTATATAAGTACAATTCCTTGGTCAAAGGGCATATACATTTCTAATTTTGATATTGTAAGGCTGCCCCTATGGAGATTGTACCAGTTTACACTGCTATCAACAATGCATGAGGGTGCCAAAAATGTGTTATTAAACTTACTTACTTTCACTATGGTTTTTTGTGTTACTTTTTTCTTTTTTCCCCCATGAATAGTCTGTCCTGTCTTTTGCTCATTGTTCTATTTGGTAATTTGTTTCTTTTCTTACTGATTTGTAGGAGCTCTTAATATATATTAGGAAACTAACACTATCGATTGAGTTACCAGTGTTTTTACTCAATTTGTTAAATGTTTTTTGACTTTTGTTCCTGGTGATCTTTACCAGACAGCAGATATTTCCTTTATTTTTTTCCCTGTCTCCCACTTTCCGTTCTTCCCTCCCTCCATCCCTTCATCCATCATCCTTTCTTCCTTTTTATAATTGAACTTACCAACCTTTCTTTAATGGTCTTTTTTTTGTTGTTGTTTTTTGTCATACTTAGGAAAGTATTCCTCACATTGCTATTATAAAATAAATCACACATTTTGGCTAGTACTTGTATGAATTATTTCAAACTTCTGGCTAAATTTGATGGTTCAACCCAAATTAAAAGAGATAGGAAATTACCATTCAAATAAGATTGAATAGAGTTAAATGTGAATTTTTAACTTTAAGTCATGATATTTAAGTTTTAAGTTCTTAGGAGTAGCATATAGATAGCCAAACATAATTTAACAGATTAAGAAAACAGACTCTGGATAAAATAAAGTTTTAGGTTTTCTGGAGGAATACTGAAATTTATTTAGTCAAAAAAATAAAGGGAATATGTTATTCCCTTTATTTTTTTAGATTCAAAAAATATTTATTGAAAAGAATTAAGGGAATATCTTATCATTCCCTTTAAATTTTTAGATTCATAAAAATTAAAGGCCATTTATTTGCCTTTCGGTCTAATATTATTTACAATGAAAGTTTGTAGTGAGGGTGAGGTACAATCAGGAGAGAGGAAAGTGGCTTAATTCTAGCATAGACAAGAGGTCTTGTGATAGTTTGGCAGCAATAAATTATCAATAATTAGTGGTTTTTTTCCTCTATACCTCTAAATAAAACTGTTAGGAATTATTTGATTTCAAAAATTAATTTGCCCACTCAAATATTTTTTAAATTAGTCTAACAATTTATATAAAGATATTACTTAACGTACATACTGAATAGTGTCAATAAGAACAATAGATATTGCCAGATTTAATTCTAATTTAATAATTATTTTTTCTTCTAGTTTGCTTGCCTGTATGTGTGGCCTGTCCTTCAAAGTCTTCCTCCAAACTTAGGCTTTTGGCTTCTTCCATTTCAGGGATTGGATTTGATATAATCTATAGATGGAACAAAGAAATAATAATGACAGATAAATTCCAGGATGTGCATATATATATATGTGTATATATATACATACGTGTGTATTGAAATATATGGGTATATGCATATTTATAGCCTCCTGCTGCCAGATTCCATAGTAGGCTAAAGATAATCACTAAATGATAAAGTATTTAGAATGTTTCTGTCTGCAGTGTAAAAGGACATTAACGTGTTATTAAAGATGTCTGGACTTAAGGATTTTATATAATTCATAATTTGTCTTGTTTTAACTCAAGCCTTCCAGTTAAGTCTGTGTGGTTAGTGAATATTATTTATTACTGATTTTCCTAATTTCATAATATATGAAATTTGAATATATAAGAAGTAATGTTATTTATTTCATATTATATAAAATAAAATCATTAATAATTATATACTTGCTGTGAACACTCACTGTGTGTCAGGAATTGTTTAAATTATTTTATCTGTCAAAACTCATTTAATTCTCACATAGCCATATGTGGTAGGGACAATTGTTAGTGACATGTTATAACCGAGGAAGCCGAAGGGAGTTTAAGTTACTTGCCCAAGATTACACAATAAGTGGTGGAGCAAAGATTTGAACCTAGATTATTTGACTTTGGAGCCAACTCTTAATCATTACACCACTTTGGAAATTAACATACCATTCAAGATTCAATAGAGTCATTTTTCTCAGTATGATTTGGCAACTCTAATCTTTGAATTGGCATTAAAGAATGATGGTCTAGGCCAGGCTTGGTGGCTCATGCCTGCAATCACAGCACTTTGGGAGGCCGAGGAGGGCAGATCACAAGGTCAAGAGATCAAGACCATCCTGGCCAACATGGTGAAACCCTGTCTCTACTAAAATACAAAAATTAGCTGGGCATGGTTGTGCACACCTGTAGTCCCAGCTCCTTGGGAGGCTGAGGCAGGAGAATAGCTCAAACCTGGGAGGCGGAGGTTGCAGTGAGCTGAGATCATGCTACTGCACTCTAGCCTGGTGCCTGGCAACAGAGTGAGACTCTATCTCAGAAAAAA